CTACTGAAGGCGGGAAAAGCATCATCGGTGAAGTGGACATCGTGCACCTTTTCTGCTCATTTTCGTGGGCCTCCCGTTTATTTGCACTGCGAGAACGACTGCGCATATTTTTGCCTGCAAATTAATTGTTGACATTTGCAGCAACAAAAAAGAAGAAAAGAAAAACATTTGTTGAGTAGACGGGTTGAAGCCCAGTCCTGCCCTGCGTTTCCTTCCTTTGCCTTACTTTCCTTTCGTTTCGTCTCGTCTCGTATCGTTTTTTTCTTCTTATTAATTAGGAAAACTCTGGGCGAAATGTTATTTGTTTTGTTTGAGTTCAAGTTGGTTAAGTGAGCATTTGTTCAGCTGAATCGGTGGGTGGGTAGAGCAGAGAAGAGGCATTAATTGTAAGCAGATTGAGCAAGTAATTTGGCTCACTTGATGATTGGACTTTGGGCCAACTTTTGCTGTTGATTAAATGCAGTTTGTATTTTTCCAAACTTTGCCAAAAAGTACAACATTTTAAGGGCGATTTCCCTGTTTTAAAGTCTCCCAAAATTATGGTTGACGGAATCCATTAAAAATATTAAAATTGAATAACCATCCCTCAGACCACATTCTTTGCGAATCAAATTCCATCTGCTCTGATCTACTCTGCTATGTTTGTATTTATTCAAATGAATATGAATATCCTGTAATACCTGTTATGATATTTCTTCTAAAATGCAATTTCAAACTGGCAAAAGCTGAAATCAAAGCCACAAAATTGTGCATGGCCAAGGTAAATGGCCAAAATACAGTGCGCTCTAAAAAAATAAAGCAGGGACATGTCGAAAAAAGTGTGATAATTGTTGGGTAACTTTTTTGAAAAAAAAAAGATATTAATCGGAGGTGTTTCGGTACCAATGAAAATCCATTTCGATCACAAAAATAAGTTTTTTAACTTTTTTTTAGTATGAATTGCACTAAAAATCTGCTTTTAATGCTCACATTTCCAATATATTGAACACTCAACAGACTATACATCTATGAAACGCACTGTACAGTGCACTGTGTACTAGCCGGGTAACAGGCAAATGTCGATATGTAAACATGTTATGTGCAAACTTTTCCCATCTCTTCCCGAAAAAAAAAAACGGGGAGCATAAAAAAATGGCAACTGCATATATCTGAACGACTTCCTTCCCGGACATGGACCCATAACGCTGTCGCCTCTGGTTTCACAGTTCTCCGGAGTCTGGACAGCGGCGGAGAGCAGCTGCCAAAATGCATTACACAAATTGTCCGTTTATGGCAGGGCAAAGGTAAAAACTCAACCGAAAACCGCACATAAAAACTATTAGGTACTCGGTTAAGGCAAACAGTTTGTCTACCTTCATCGCACGGGCACACGAACCGGACGGACACACGGTTCCACGGCCACACGGCCACACGGCCACTCCTTCACTATTCACGTTTCCTGTCCGCCCGTCCGCCCGTCCAAAGGTTGAAGGAACATCTGTCAGCGGCATTCGGGCGCGACAGTCATCTCAGACATGCGGGCGACACTCGTGCGACATTTTGGCAACATTCTGTGGCACAACTGCAGTAAGGGGCCAAAGAAGGAAGCACTCCCTAGTTTAGACTTGAAAATACCCGTTTTTTCTCTGGGATTCTGGATATAAATAAGCATTTTATATATTTTTAGGGCAACTTTCTGGCTTGTCTTGAGTTGTTACAAACATCTTCATGAACACCATCTACCCCTTAATCCACAAGCAGCGGGTATAAAAAATCGTATCGAAAACTATCTGACAAACATGTTCCACTCATGCACATAGACAGGGAACAGAGACAGGATGCCGGAGCAGGAGCATTCATGGAACATGGACATGGACACGACTCCAGTTCCCCCCGCCGCTCGTAGCTCGTAAATGGGTTGACATTTCAATCTCTGTCTGGGTGTCTGGGAGTCTGGAACTCTGGGGCTGAGATGCGCTGAGTACAGTGGGGTGCAGTGGAATTGGGTTGGATGATGATGATTCGGGGGGAACTCCCTGGCATCGCTAACAGCCCTCGTACTATTTCGTGCATATTTCACAAAATTGCATCCGTTTGTCGCATTTTGGCAGCCGCATATTCCAGAGCTCTAAACAACTTCCGCACGACTGAATGCGAGTCAATTACAAAATTGCATTTTCCACATACCCCCACCCACACCCCCACCCTTATCCCAAAATCAACTGCATCTCACTCGCTCTTTGTCCGCCGTGTCATCTCTTTTGCTCTTCTTTTTGTTGGTCTTTTGTTTTTATTTTTTTCGAAGCTGCCTTCATTAGGCCAAAGATGTGTTGGTAAAAGTTTTATTTTGGCTAAATTGCCCTCAAACAATTCTCACAAAAATTGTCTGGGAAACGGCGAGCAGCTTGTTTCATTCAGAGTGGGAAAAGTTTGTTGTTGAAAACTCCATCCATGAAAACATACAAGAGAGGCTTTGGAGATGGCTTTGAATAGAAAATTTGGACGCACATTGAATTTTTGGATTTGGAAACTACTTAAATTTCAGCTAAGGAATAAAAGCAAAGCATAATTAATGCTAGAGTGCTACTGGGAAGCTCATAAATTCACAGAAAAGCCCTTCAAAGTATTATAAAACTATCCTATAAACTTGAACATCCGAAGGAACCTTTTGTGTACCATCATTTTGTATCTAAAAGGAGAAATCGATCCGAAGAGTGTGTTCCCCCTAGTAAAACCTTGCCCAACGAACCATGAGCCGGCCCTTAGTTTCTTCGGGAAAACCCATTAGCAGCATCAGCACGAGGAGGGTCCCCTAACTAGTAGATCTGTCCAGCAGGAACAGCCGGGCGGGGGACAGGAAACAGAACTGTTTGAACCTCTGGACTAAGCGAAGATTTGCGGCTAAGTCACGTAAGGCGAATAAATTTTGTATGACATTGCCGGGTGGTCGGGAGGAGCCAGGAGTTCCGTACGGGCAGGAGACCATCAAAGTAGCGCAAATTTGTAACGGTAATTTAGCTTGGGCTTCCACCGGATTTCAGTGCCGTAGACGGGGGAGAACTGGGAGAGTTTCGGTGCCGTAGAAAATGGAAACTTGGGAGATGGGATGCCGATGGAGATGGAGATGGAGGTCACTAAGTAGCATGGACCGTATTTCACGCAAGGACTACGAAACAGACAGGACCGACCACGCCCACGTCGGTAACTGGACTTCCGAAAAACCCTCCGAAGTAGCCCTGCAGCCAGCCCTCTCCTTCCATTAGATGCCAAATTGAATTAAATGTAAAAATCTTTTGCACGCAATTGAGAAATGGAAAAAAGTGCTAAATAAATTTATAGACATGAATATGAAAAGAGAGAAAGATTGCGGGGACAGGGAGTGGCTGTGGGAGGAGGAGGAATACATTTCGGGACTTTTTACGACTTCCATAGAAATTAAAATGCCATTTAATGTTGGGAGAATATAAATTAAATGGTTCTTTTTTATGTTTATTTCGACTGCCGTCCTTGGCATTGGTTGGGTGGGAGGGGTCCTCCTTGGGGGTTGTGGTTCTGCCTCTGAGGCCGGGACAGGTCCTGCTGCAGTAAGGCCGATTTGCCGGTAAATTGAATTGGCATAAAACTGAAAACAAACTGAAAGTTTTGCTTTATGTGGCCACCCACCGATGTCTCAATTTTGTGCGGGGCGCACCGATCTCTAATCGACTTTTAGATGTTCCATTTTATGGCTACAGATTTTATACATGTTTATTGTCTGGCATCTCGGCCAGAGTCAAAAACCGTGCGATTTGTAGTGGAAAGAGAGCTATGGACGAGGGAGGCAGGGAGGTAGGGGTACTCGCCAAAGCGAGTTTACTTTGTTGCCAATTGTTTATGCCATTTAAATTTGTTATGCGCCTTTTATGTCTCTCTGTCTCTGTGCGGTTTTATGGCCAAAGTTTTATTTATGTCTCCCCTCTCTCTCTGAATTTTCGACACGCCAATTGCATTTGATTAGATTGTGTTTGCTTTCCTTTTTTGGCTGGGGGACTCTGAAAATATGGCGGAATTTATGAGAAATGGCGATCCAGCAAGAGCTTTTCTTTAATCAATGGTTGAGTCGATGTTTTACTTTCACTTAAGCCCCAATCCCCAATTAATTTGGCAGTTCTTTGTGACTGAATTATGGATAAGTTGATGGAGAATCAATTACCAACAGAAGCTTTCCTTAGAGCCAGCTTAAGGGCGCTTTACTTTGCTTCTCCTGTGAGGACATTTCTCTAAGTGCATCCTTCGGCTTAGCCTCATCACGTGCCCGGAAGGACTTCTCAGCTGTGGAGGAGGAGCAGCAGGGGGAGCCCCTGCTGTTACCTGCGTAAATTAGTTATAGCTGTTGGCTTGGCGCTGAGATCGGGCCATATACAAGTGGCCTGCTGTGTTGATTCTACGACATTTAAGAAGATTTATGGCTACACCTTGACGGCAAATGGGCGCCCGAGTCCAGGTCCGAGAGCCAAGCGGAAGCTGCAGCGAGTCGAGTGCATGGGGCAGGACCTGCTCCGAGCTGGGCAATTTGCCGAAAGTCATTAAGTTTGCGCATCAGTGCAACAGCAATGAGATTTCCCCACCTCGAGGACCCACAGCCACAGCGGAAAGTCAACGACAACGAGGTCTTTAAGGGCTCATTTTTATTCAATCCCATTTGGATGCCACGAAGGCACTCGAGAGTTGGCCTGACTGAAGACTGAGGCTCTGGCAGGGTCTGGCAGGGTCTGCCGACAGGCTCTGGCTGAAATATAATTATAGTTTCATTTCCGTTCCGACTCGAAAAGCCAAATTTGGCTGGCAGACGTCGTCAACACGTGGCGTATGAGTAATGCATGGCCTTGGGCCTCAATCTGCTTATAAAATAAAGTCAACAGAGATATGCAGACGACTGCATTAAGCATTTTGACCGAATGATTAAGTAGCTTAATTTATTGAGGGATTGAGGAGGAGAGTATTCACAAATATAAACATATGCCCCAATAAAAAGCCAAGGATTGAAGAACTCCGAACCAGCTTTAATCTCATCTAACCAGAGGACGAACCATTTAAATATTCCCTGACCCAAAGATCACATTTAGTGCATCAGTTTGAAGGAAACATAAAGAAAGAGCGACGCGCCACAGCAGAAGAGGCTGCGGCTGACCTTCTTTATGTCCAGACTGCCTTGCGGATCGCAAAATAGCAGCTCGAAGATCTGACGGAAGAAGCCGGGTTGGAGATCGGTAGGGCTGCCGATAGAGTCTTCGTCCTCTTCGCTGCTTTGCCTCAGCTCGTGGCGACTCATTAGCTCCAACAGTGGTGTCTCCAGCTCCAGCTCCGCCTTCGAATCGACATCCTTCAGATAGTCGATGGTGACGAGCTCGCGCTCGCTGTCCAGGTTATATTCCCGAGTCTGGTCGCTCTTGGCGATGCGCTCGTTCTGGCCCTTGGGCCGCGGTGCCATGATGGTCTTCATCCACCCGAACCAGTCGAAGCGCTTCTTCATGGGCAAGGCTCGGACTATGCCCACCGGCTGGTCGATGGCATCGTGAAAGGAAGATGTCGAGCTTATGCAGGATAGATATTCCCCCGGATCGCTTTCGGCATCGGGTTGTTGGTTAATTCGGAGCGCAGTTGGTAGCATAGGATCCTGGGGATCGATGCGATCCTGGTGATCGATGAGATTCAGTTGAGCCAGCTCTTGAAAATTGTAAGGAAGCGGGGAGTTTAAGGACACTTGGGGCCGGTCCTCGCCGTAGGTGCTATGCAGCTGCAATTCCAGCAGTCGCTGATCCTCCGACTGCTCGGCCATGGAGACAGTTTCGTGATTATCGTGGCTGTAATAGCCGGTGGCTCCGTAACTCGATGGCTCCCCGGTGTACGGCATCTCATCCTCGAACTCATTCTGATTCCCATATTCATGATATTGCTCTTCGTTCTGCTGATCCTCCTCATACTGATTTCGAGACTGCATTTGATCGTCATCTTCATATCGTTCTTCATACAGCATCTGATCATCCTCTTGATATTGAGCCTCATACTGATCTTGGGACTCCTCCGAGTACCGGCTCTCAACCTCCTGCTCCTGCTCCTGCTCCTGGCTCAGATCGACCGTTTCCTCTCCCTGGCCGCCGCGAAAGCGTGCGGGGCGTAGAGGCCTGTATCCGAGTCCCCTACTGGCATACCGCCACAGCAGAGAGGGCACCTGGTAGCCGAAGAAGTTTGCCTCTTGGACGGAGGACAAAGCTCTATCCAAAATTGAAGGTCCTGGCTGCCGCTGAAACCTGCGACGAAACAGTGGCGTGGCTCCGGATCGACGCGGGCTGACCGGTACGGCGGAGGGCCTCAGAAGGCGAACCGAGGGAGATGTAAAGGTGGAAGAACGTATCCAACGCGGAGAAGACGGGCGCCAAGCCTGCATTTCCCTGTATACCGAGGAGCGTCCAGAGGGATTCTGCGAGTACTGCTCCTCGCGTTCCCTGGCGATCTGCTCCCGTACCCGGGCCCTGGCCCGATCCCCGATCACCGCCACCGTCAGCCGCCGCTCCACGTGCCGCCGGTTGATGAACGACACCTGGGCCACCACTAACCCATATTCACGACACAACTGGAGGAGCTCCTCGTTTTTCAACTGCTGCAGCTGCTGCAGGACGGTCGGCCTGCCCTGGGGCATAGTTACTGGCTCTGGCGATGGATCTGCTTTATTCCCGGCTGGCAATTCTTTGAACAAAACATAAAACACTGAGAATTTCGTACCTTAAGGTTTTTTTAGTAATTTAATAATTTAGTACTTTTTTCGAATTTTTTTATATCGATGTCGAAAACTATCTGAGAATGAAGTTTAATTCCATTAGCTTTTGTTTTCCGTGTTTCTCAGAGGCTTAGACAAGTGCAAACAAAGCCGTTTGCCTGAAGGCGTTTTCGGGAAACTTTCGATGGCCTTCGGAGGCGATTCCGATTGCCCCCTCCAGCTTATAGGAGGTCCCCCCTCCCGAAATCAGACAATAAATTTAAACTTTGTTCCCTATGCAAACCGGAGGAAAACAAGCTGGGAAAACTGACAAATGGAAAAGTTGAAAAGTCATCGAGTTCTGTTGTTATTTTATTTTGATGACCTGACTGCAGTTCCCTACCCAACCGTAAAGTTTTTACCCTTCTGCCACCGCCAGGCTGTGGGGTCCTGTGTCCCCTTTTCGATGGCACCCAATGTTGTACTTGTTTGTCGTCCTTTTTTTTGGTTTTTATGGAGAAATATATCCTGCGGAGCGGAGGTAGACACAGATGTGACCATGGGATAGATCAAAGGGAATGTCAGCTTTAAAGGGGGCAAACGAAAACAACAAAAGGAACAACTTGAAAACTTTACTGAATTGTATGGTATTTTGATTCTGATTTTGATAAAGAATTCAATTTATTTGCATGCGTTTTTCAAGCAATTCCCACTGAGTGGAAAATACAAAAATGGAAACTGCGAATGAAGGGTTCAGAGTATTGAATAATTGAGTTTAATTTTTTCTTCCTTTCCTGGGTATTGCCCGAGGTGCTATTCTCAACAATTTTTAGCCTTTCCCAATTTCTCATTTACCATAATATTTTTTAATAAAATTTAAGTAGAAAAAATGAATTTTTAAGTGTTTTTTGCGCGCCATCTATTAATTCACTTTTAAAGCATGACAAGCGCCATCTATGTGAAAGCTTAAGGAAACTAAAAACCGCCGATGAATGATTTTTCAAAGCTTTAACAGTTTAAGATCCATTCAATTGCAGTTCATTTCAAACGTCTGGAGAAGTCGTAACTCTCAAACTGTATTTTGCAACAAAAAACAAGCAGGAACTTTATAAGCCTCGACCCAAGCTAACACTCAGCCAGTATATATGTACATATGTAAACGAATCTATGTAATTTTTACAATATATTTTATATGTCGCTGTTCTACAAAAAATTGCATTTAAATCGGTCGAACCGTTTGGCATCTGTCCCTTTTCTTCAACACCAACACCAGGCGATTTATCTCGCTCCCTTCCGCCAGAGCTCGCACATTGCACGATGAAGACTGTGTGAGAGATAGAGAGAAACGCGTGGAAGGCGTTGCGTAGCTTCTGCAATTTCATTGGTTTCTTCTGGCTATAATTATGATCCGATCCAGATTCGCTAACCTGTTAGATATAGTCATTGACTATGATTGTCTCTATGATTTTCCCGCATCTTCAAAATCTTTTAAAATACACTTGCAACAGTGTGATATCACAGGAGCCTGGATACCAAACTTGGCTGCTCTAGCTCTGATAGTCTCTGAGATCAAAGCGCTCATCACGATGGACAGACAGACAGACGGACATGGCTATATCGACTCGACTATTGATGCTGATGGGGTCGCGTCCTTTTGGGTATTACACACATCCACTCTCACCACAAGCCCTATACTCTTCGAGTACCGGATATAATCATAAATAAGAGCGATTGAACCATACATATCTCCGATATCTCTATGATATTTTATTTTGAATTTCCCATGGAAACCAAAGACATGTCGTATCTGTTCGTTTAATATTCATAAAGTTTTATTAGTAAACATATATTTAGACTACACAGAACTACAAACATTTTTGATGATTTGGGTTGTTTTTTTTTTTTTGTTGGTTTCTATTCGTTTTATATTTTTGTTTCAATGGTGTGACCTAATTTAAATTTAGTTTAATAATATTGTAATAAATAATTCGTTACGCGTATAAATTGACTGTCCTGTCTGATTGCAGCACTCTATTATTGTCATTCAAGAATTCATTTGATTTGTTTTCGCACGCTTTAAATATTATGTATATTAAATATCTTCCGTTTAATGTGTATGTATACTTAATCTATTAAGTATTTACAAAGCTCAAACTATGAACACGAACTTGTAACGGCATTTGAAATTCTGATTTTCCGATTCGAATTTAATTGTATTTTAAATTGTATTTAAATTGGTTATCGTCTTGACTATCTTCTAGATTTCTTTTGTTGTCTTTTTTTTTATTGTTTGCTATGGCAGAAAACTTTATAGAATATCATTTAACAAATACTAGAATACGAATCTCATTTGATCAACAACAGTTTTTTGCGACCTAACAAAATGCATTTGCTTGATGTTGGAGTTGGAGATTGGTGATTGGAGATTGGAATTTGAATAGAACTAATTTGGTTTCTCCTTTCATTTAGTTTCGGTTACTGTTGTTTAATACTAATCATATATGGGGGAGAATGTAATGCAAATTTGAACTCAATTTAATATAGTTATACATAAGTATTTAAAAATTATTTACACCTTGAAAGTACTGCTAATTTAGACGATAAATGTATCTTAATTCTGTTCTGCTTAGTGGGGGAAAAAACAAACTAATTAACGAATTAGTGTCTGGCTTAAATTCGTTGCTGTGTTTAGTACTTGTACTCTGGCAGACCTCTGCTGTTCTGGCTTGTGGCTTCGAGGAGCTGCTGCAAATTGATCAATCTGGAAATTAGATGCGTCTTGGTCGCCCATAATTATCCGCAAACAAAACTGATGGAGTCCGAGTCCCCCCACCCACAGATACCCGTCCAGCGATCGACCTTAAAACTCCTCATCGTCGTAGTCGTCGCTGTCGCTATCCTGGCGGGGAAGGATGTGGAACCAGGCCCACAACCGGGACATGTCCACTCATCGTTTGCGATTATAGGCGCCAAGCGAAGACTGCCTTCATTCCTTCATCTCGTGTCCATTGGCCCCCAGCTCGAGGAGCTCATGGGGCTCGGCATTCAGCTTGGGATAGAAGAAAGATCAATAAGAAACTGCCTAATACTGATAGGCACTAATCTTACCCTATCCACGCTAGCCAGATCGTTCTTCGACAGGTGATTAACCAAAATAGTGCCCAGGGCATCGCACATCACATTGATGGTAGTGCGGAAGCGATCCCTACAATCAAACCAAATGAGAAAAGATAGCCACAGGAAGGACATGGACCTAGGACTTACAGTAGCCAATCGACAGCTATGATGAGGGACACATCCTTCGGCTCCAGGCCCACAGTGTCCAGCACCATGACCATGGTGACGAGGCCCGCCTGCGGAATGCCAGCGGCTCCAATCGAGGCAGCCGTTGCTGTTATGCTCACCGCCACAATGGTACCAAAGGAGTAGCTCATCTCACGGTACTGGGCGATGAAGAGTGCGGCCACAGCCTCATAGAGAGCAGTGCCATCCATGTTGATGGTGGCTCCCACGGGGATGACGAATCGGGTGACGCGCGGATCGATGCCCATGTTGTCCAGACATTTGATGGTCAGCGGCATGGTGGCCGAACTGGAGCCAGTGCCAAATGCAGTGGCCAGCACCTGACTGAGCTTTGCAATATACCGATACGGAAGGCGTCGTGTGCCCAAGAAAAAGATCACAGCAATGGTACCTGAGGCAAAGCCAAAGGAAATGTTATTGGATTTGTATATTGGTTGCCAGGATTGAAGGAAAACTCACCGAATCCATGCAAGAAGAGACCAATCATAACCGTTATGAAATACCAGCCTAACGATTGTATAGTCGCCGCAATGGACTCCATCTCAATGATCTTGGCGGCTATCAGGAAGGCCACACCCAGAGGGGAAATCCTACAAAGGATTGCATTAGCTGCATCCAGGGGAAATGGCTATCTTCCACTCACCAGATCACCCATGAGGTGATTGTCATCATTGCCTCGCTCAATGTGGTAAAGAAATCCTGCAGCAGTTGCCCCTTCTCACGCATCCTGCCGATGGTGGTGCCCAGGATCACGCTGAACATGACCAGACCCAGGACATTGGAGCCCTCGCGTTGGGAAGACTTGAACTGCCAGGCTTCCATGGGTTCTAAAGAGTTCAACAGATTGATTAGTGGAGGAATTTTTAATGAAAAGAAACCACTTACGTGCTGGGCTAATGCTGGTGTTCTCAAAGATCTCAGTGCGATACTGAAATGGGAGGAGATTAAAAGGATTAACGATGGCTCATAGATGGCTAAGGGGAAATCTACAAGAAATCTACAGGAATGTACATTTTCACATTAAAAGGGAAAAGTGATGTCTCGTATTTTCCATGGAAGCTTTGCCATAATTTTGCACTTTTGTGACACTCAAAGTGCTGTTGATTATCCCCCTTCATTGACTCCGACAATAATCTAATTGTGCGCATGAATATTCATTTGGTTGCCAACAGATACAGATGCAGATACACCATTCGTATTATCATATATTTGCGAAGGTACAATGTCCATATATATCAGCCGCAGTCTCGTCCCGAGTACTTTGATTCAATTTGTGTCTGGGGGGCTCATAAACCGTGCTGTATCTCTGTCTCTGTCCCATTCCCATTTCCATTCCCAGTCACTGTCTCCGTCTGGGTCTCCGTCTCTTTTTCTGTATATGCGATAATTGAAATTTAAGCACAGCCAGAGAGACGGAGAGACAGAGAGACATGTGTGAAAGTCCCCCCTACTTTGGGGATGGATTGTAATTGAAATTGTGGTATCCCTAGCCCTATCATGTCGCTTTTGATTATGTGTCGCGCGGTTTGTTTCAATCAAACTCGGTAAACCGCAAAGAATTGAATAATTGCGGCGGTTTCTGGTTCGGATTTCTGTTGTTTACGGATTCTGTGCAACAGAGAGCAACAGTGCGTATGCTCGATCTCGCTAGAGAGACGACTTACCTGGAACATGGTGGACTGGATGATGTTGTCCGTAAACATGTTTCTATTGGAAGAAATGAATCAGAATTTGGCCCG